CGAAAGTGGCGCTATAATCATCTGGAGGTGCATCTGCGTGGCCCCGAGGCGATTGAGCCATCGCGCCACTGCCACTCGTGCACGCAGCAATGACGGCGTGCGCTATGATCCAAACGATGCCGCCCACGCCCAGCGCCAAGCCGCGCACTCGATGATTGGCGTGATTGTTGATGGTGGTGCGTGGCTCCTCGTAAAAGTCGTCGGAGCCTACTACGGGAGCATTGCTTGGCACATCTGCCGCACGTCCGGCAGTAGTGATGCCTCGAGGGCTGGGCAAAAGGTGAGGCAGCTCTTGCAGCAGCACCAGCACGACGTCGCGAGGGCATATGAGGGTCGTGAAGGATTGGCGAGAGCTAAGGCCCGTCTCTGCGCGCTCATCGGTAGCGTCGCCCGCGCCCGGTGACATTCCCAGACTCTTGCATCTCAGCACCTCTAACAGCCAGCGGCGAAGCCTCCCACGACGTCAAACTTTTTGACGATGCGCTGATGAGCAAGCACAGACCCATACTCACCTCGAGCAACGTCCCTGCACGCTTGCGTGTCCCATCCCTCCGCACCGGCAGGACGAGGACCCAGGTATCGCGCCATTGCCAAGATTATGCTGCCACGTTCCATCATGCCAAGCTGAGATGGTCGGTGCGAGGGTCCAGGCTGAGAGGAATCCGTCTGCTTCTCGAATCGCTGCAGCCATCGTTGGACGCTTTGGAGCGAGACGAGCGGCTGTTCATCTTGGTACCATGAGATGCGCTCCGAGGCATCCAGAGGAGGAATTGTCAAGTCCAGCAAATCCAACAGTTGACCATCCTCTCTTGCCTCTCCTGACATTCCCACCGCCATGGGCGCTGCTGCCTGGGTGACACGTTGGCCGAGTCAAGCGAGGTGGAGCCAATCAAAGAGATCAGCGGGGTGTGACTTGAGGCAGAGCCTAAACAGACTCTCGACAATCTCGAACGTAGCGCGCAAAAAGGAGATGCTGCAGTCTCGAGTCGCAAATCTGATTCTCAGCATGGTGAGGCAAGAGGATAGGCTTACACCCTCGTTGCTGTAAAAGATTCACAATCTTGAATGAATCAATCGTGAATCACCAAATCCGATTCCTTTCTTCCGCGTCAAGACTTTCGACTCGACTGGCTCGATCGAGCCGAGCGCGTCACGGCGCGCTTTGTCCGTGAAATCGCGCGTCACGTGGACACGCGTCGAGCGCACGCCAAA